GCAGGGTTTTCAGAGAAGGTGACAAGTCACTAATACTAGTATTTGATGGATCTAAGAGGTGTTCACAATTTGTTTAAACATTTAGAGTGAAAATTTACTGGTAATTGCACATTAAATTTTTGTCAATAAATGAAACTAAGGCGCAGCCTAATAAAACATCAATAACTATAATAACATAATTTTTATTACACTGAAAAAATAAATAACAATTTTTCAAGTATTTCTCTGTTGGAAGGTATGGATGCATTATTTATCTATTTTTTCTACAGTGACTATAGGTCAAGTTCATGACACACCCTCAGGTCATAAGCAATCTTTGTGTGAAGTGGAAACTCCCAACATCCCAACATTATTCTCCATAAGAATGATACAGACGGGACATGAATTATGAACCTTTTCTCAATCAGTGACCTTGAACTTGCCCAAATGACCTTGGATCAAGGTCTTGACACACCCTCAGGTCATTAGCAATCTTTGTGTAAAATGGAAACTCATCAAGTTTATCCATAAGAAAGATATGGACCAGAAACAAATTATGAACTTTTTCTTTTACATCCTCAGGTTATGAACAATTTTTGTGCAAAAAAGGAACTCACCAAGTCTATCCATAAGAAGATATGGACCGGACACGAATTATAAACCTTTTTTTAGTGACCTTGAACCATGCAGATGACCTTGGGTCAAGGTCATGACACACCCTCAGGTCATAATCAATCTTTGTGTAAAAGGGGAACTCACCAAGTTTATCCATAAGAAAGATATGGACTGGACATGAATTATGAACTTTTTCTTTCAGTGACCTTGAACTTGTCCAAATGACCTTGGGTGAAGGTCATGAAACACCATCAGGTCATGAACATTCTTTGTGTGAAGTAGGAGATTCCAATGTTCCTCCGTAAGAAAGATATGGACCGGACACGTTTGCACAGACAGACGGATGGACAAGGTGATTCCTATATACCCCCCCCAAACTTTGTTTGCGGGGGGGGGGGGGGCATAATTATACACAAGGGTTTCCTGATTAAAATAATTTAGCAAAGGGGAGCAACTCTTGTTTGCTTCACTTATTACAATTTTGTACTCCGTTTACCTTCTAGATACCCAGGATCAGAGAAAAGGCACATTTATTCAATTTATATTTATACATTTACATTTATATTATTGCATTTAGTTTGTTCTATTAATACTCAGAAACCGAGGAGATTTTCAAGGCATAAAGCATTTTTCCTAAATTATCAACAGAGCCCATCCAAACACCAGAACCCTTGAAATGTACAATTTTGGAAGAGGCATCCTTGCTCATCATAACTCATGCATTTAGCTTGTTTGCTTACTAACCCATGGCCATGAAATTCACAGTTCTGGAAAAGGCATCCTTCCTCATCATAACTATGTACTTAGATCAGCAGCTTAATACCCAGGAGCAGAGGAGAAGATTTTCTACGAATTATTGCATTTTCACTATATAATGATTATAGCCCCATGCCTTACACCATAACCCCTCACCCTGGAGCCATGAAATTAAATTTTTTGGAAGAGGCATTTATCCTCATCATAACTATGTTCTGTACATAGTTCACTGGCTTCATACCTAGGAGCAGAGCAGGAGATTTCAAAGAATTAATGCATTTTCACTATATAATCATTAGAGTCCCATCCTAACACCAGAACCCTTGACCCAGGGGCCATGAAATTCCCAATTTTGAAAGGAACATCATTGCTCAATATAACTATGTACATAGATCATCAGCTTAATATCCAGGAACAGAGGAAAATATTTTCAAAGAATTAATGCATTTTCACTATATACTGGTAATCATTTCAGCCCCACCCTAATACCAGAACCCCTGACCCAGGGGCCATGAAATTCACAATTTTTGAAAGAAGCACTCCTCTTCATCATAGCTATGCATTAGTTTTGTTTGTTTAATACTCAGGAGCAGAGTAGAAGATTTTTAAAGAAATAATGTATTTTCACTTTATATTCAACAAAGCCCGGCCCTAGCACCAGAACCCCTTGATCCTGGGGCTATGAATTTCACAATTTTGGTAGAGGGCTCAATGCTCATTACAATCATGCCAACAGTTTGACTGCTTTATGTCCAGAAGTAAACAAGAAGATTTGTACAGATTGCATTAATTTTGATAGTTTTAGCCCCATTCCTCATGCTCCAGGGGGGCAGGGGCCATGAATTTCACAATATTTACTTCCCTTTACCTATAGATGCTATATGCCGAAATTGGTTGAAATTTGTTCAAAGGTTCAAGAGAGGAAGCTGAAAATGTTTAAATGTAAATGCACAACAGAGGACACACGAAAACATATAGCAATAGGTCATAGGTCACCTGAGTAAACTCGGGTGATCTAAAAATTGAGATGGGGTTTCCTTTTGATCGATAGTACTCAATGGCTTCTTATTCTAATTGGGAAATACAGTTAAAACTGCCATAGCGACCCACTGTATTAAGCGACTCACTGTCATATGTGACCGTAAGAATTCCTCCCAACGCTTTTCCCAATACATTATACCTGTATTAAACGACCACCTGTCTAACGCGACCAGCGACCGTGATTTTCCTGACCATTTTTTGTAATTTCAGGCAATTTTACCTGGATTTAAAGACTATATAATTTCCGATTCCTACTTTCGATTTCGGTCGAGCAGGCTACGTTTTTTGGTTCAAAACATCTTCAGACACGTGTTTATTTCATTTAATAATTATATAATGCCAGTTTTAGGAATAAAACAACATTTCAAAATAAATATTTTTACTTACGTTTTGATATTTATTGAATAAACATTAAAATCTAATACATAAACATTCACGTTTTTTCTCTCCAATGATCGAGTGCCATTTTGAAAATAGACGTTCGAGGTCGATCCCGATATCATTTCGTGTTATAAGGGCCAAATGGATATTCAGCTATAAAACCTGCCTTTTTAACTTTTAATTAACAAGTAACTAAATCCTAGATGTTTATTTAAGTGAATTGTGTCACCAACGGGGTAAGTAAACACACGCTAGCTAGCACCCATACCAGGTGATAATTGAAGTGATTGAAGTAGGTGACAAACAGGCAATTAGACGCGGTAGTTCAGTAATGAAAAAAAAAAATAATTAGGTTAAATAAATTTTTAGTCATAAATATAATTTAATTTATTACCAAATGCATAACAAAAATCATGATACAGTTTTAATTCTTAGTAATTTGCAAAACATACAAAGCTATATATATAGGCTATCATGTAAAACAAAAAAAATATTATTAGAAAAAATCTTTGCAGCTTTTTAATACCGTATAAAACATTTAATATTTTCAGATGTTCACAATTTTTCCCAATAATCAAATTACTCATGTGCAGATCAAGCAAATTTTATTACTGAACAGGACATGCAATTGTACCTATAATATAAAAGCATTTAGAGTTGAGCAGTACCTATAAAATACATTCCACATACACATGTAATATTTTCAGCATTGTGTATATTTGAACACTGCTCAAAATAAGCAACCTGTATTAAGAGACCACCTGTCATATGTGACCTTTTCTCCTTTCTCCGTTGGAAGGTCTCTTAATACAGGTTTGACTGTAATGAATTTTTGCATTTATTATTGTTTGGTGCATTATCCGTGATAAGCAACAATTCGCAATTTACAGTTAAATAAAATGTTATTTATTTTTTCTTTCATAATCTAAATTTGTATGCTTTCTCCTCCTTGACTTTCCCATTACTGTTGATGATATAATACTGCTATCTCTCAGAAACAACACAAAAGATGTTACTAATTTTGAGTTCTATACAATGATTATCTTTAATTTAGCTGAATTCCTTGTTCAGCCAGTCACATTTCACCACAAACATTGTCAAAGCAAGGGTGTGACGTCCAAATTACAGAAACACACTAGATAATTGTCATTGTTACTGAGGGTTTTCCTTGCATTATTTGACCTTTTGTTTCCCAAAACCAGTGGCAATAATCGGGGGTGGTAATATAACGGGTGTATTAACACAGGGGAAAATCCATTCTTGGAGAATTCCTGACAATAAGCAGGGGTAGCAATATGACAGAGGGCAATATACCGAGGTAGCAATGTATAATCAATAGAGCCCCACCCTAACACCAGAACCCCTGCCACAGGGGCCATAAAATTCACAATCTTGGAAAAGGTGTCCTTGCTTATCATAGCCATGCAATTAGTTTGTTTAAATAACCAGGAGTAGAGAAGAAGACTTCCAAAGAATTAATGCATTTTCACTATATAGTCAAAAGAGCCCCAGGACTGACATCAGAGCCCCTGACCAAGAGGCCATGAAATTCACAATTTTTGAAGAGGCAACCTTGCTCATCATTAGTATGTATTTAGTTAGTTTGTTTAATATCCAGGAGCCCCACCCTAGCACCAGAAGCCCTGACCCTGGGGGCATGAATTTCAAAATTTTGGTAAAGGGCTCAACGCAATTATTACAGTGATTATCATGCCAACAGTTTGACTACTTGATGTCCAGGAGAAATAGAATTTTTAAAGATTGCATTAATTTTTGTGGTTTTAGCCCCAAACCCCGAGGGAGGTGGGGAGGGGGGGGGGCGGAGGTCAGGCGGGGGCATGGACCATAAAATTCACTATTTCTTGTTCCCCTTCACCCATAGATGCTACACATATATGCCAAAATTGGTTTAGCGGTTCCAGAGGAGAAGTTGAAAATGTTCAAATGTTGTGAAGCATGACGGACAATGCACAACGACAGACAAAAACAAATCGCAATAAGTCACCTGAGTGACATGGGTGAGAAAGAAGCACTTGTGGCAACACCAATAAATTGAATTACGACCCCTGGTTTAGTCTTGTGTGGCAAGGTTTCATGAAATAAGACTAAAAATGTAGGAGGGATAGCCTTTGGAAAGAATTTTTCATGAATTTCTATAACTACCATGACAACAACATTCATCAAAATCAAACACTGATTATTAGAAGTACCTATATAAGATAGCCTACCTGACTGAAAACCCTGTCCTTTATATTTAGTATTCTAATGATGTGGTTGTTTGTGTCAGCAATGTAGGCCACTCCCTTGGTCATCTCCACAGACAGACCACCTGGTTCATTCAGTTTCACCTCCTTTTCTTTAACCCATATGGTAGTACACATCTTCTTACTGATATCAACAAGCTTTAACTATATAAAAAAAGAAAACTATTTAGCATAACACCTGATAGAATTAGATTTTAGAATCTCATCCCCATACATGTGATAATTTGTAGACTCATATACCGTAAAAGAGCCTTAAAAATACTGGAATTTAGGTGAAAATACTGCACATTGCTCATCAAAAAATTGAACAAAAACTGGACAAAATATTGACCAAAACATCAGTATGAAAGGATCATTTTATTACATTTTCAAATCAACAGATGTATACCACAGCATGCAAATTACTTATTGCAAGCAATTTTTGCAACTTTTAGTTTCAAACATTGTATTCACAACAATACCTTGGTCAATGTTGAATTTTTGAATTTTGTACAAAGACTGTCCATAGTACAGTGTACCATGCAACAGTCTTCGTCTCCACTCAATCTGCATTTTTCTCATGATACTAAAGGCTTCCTCTGACTCTGTGTTAGGATTGACAATATTTATAGCTAAGCTAATAAGTTATGGATTAAATTTCATGTTGTTGTCAGAGTTGCTCTGAAATTTATCATTTTCTCTTTGATACGTCTTTCTACTTACAAAATTCTAACAAGTTTTAATTTGAAATCCCCTTATAAAAACAATTCAACCAAAGAGAAGTATAACTACAATGGAATTATTGCAGGGAATGTTTAACACCTTCAATCGCAGTGTTTTGACAGCATAAGCGAGACACAGAAAGTCATACATTAAAAAAGATTTCCAGTGTTGTGAGAAAAATGGCAGTTTCTGGAAATTAATCAAAAATAACGCACATATTTTCATCTACCACGATTCTTGTATCCCACCATGATCCGGCTAGAGTAAAGTTTGGTGGATGCAAAGAATGAGTTGGCCTTCCGTCCAATTTTCATCATCACTGCATGTAAGCATGATTGATGAAGCTAAGCCATTCATTATGAAGAACGCAATATGGTGAAAAATGATGAAGTTTTTAGTAAATTTTAATAGTTGAAAAGTATGCAGATGCACGTGAAATTGAGCAATTTGTGACTATTTAAAATTCTGATTTTGACTGGCAATAATGTCAACTAGATGCTGTATGAGACAGTAATACCCGCACTAAGGTGTTTGCCTCTAAATGCACACTCCTTCATATTGGGCTTACCAAGGAAAGAGTCAAAATAATTCTATAATTTACACAGTACATGTACATGTATTCATCAATTCGAGCATAAAATGCTCAGGTGACCATGTGACCTATGAGCCTCTTATAAGTATTTCCTTTACTTAATTCATTACCAGTCTGAAATAACAGAATTTAATTAATGATGTAAATTAGGTTTTGATAAAAGGGGGATATAAATTTTTGGCCCACAATTGGAACTTTTTAAATTTATTTTCTCAACAACAAATAATATTATTTTAGTAATAGCGTTTTTGATGAATTTATCAAAATGTGCAAACTTTTTATTTAGTATTTGATTAGGCAAAAACCTCCTTGAAAAGCCATACCCAATCAATTTTGTCAGCCCCCCCCCTTTCAAATACACACACACACACAAAAATTGCCTGTTTTTGGAAATAGGCCTAGATGGCAAAGTTACGTTAAAATATCATTTGTTTGATAATTTAAAATTTGTTCTTGAACTGTACATGTATGTGAACATCTTTTTGAAAATTTCTACATCACATTGGGCTTGCGTCACCCTACTAGTACTAGTTTTACCATTATCATTGCACATGGTCAGTGTTTTCAATAAGATTTTCAATAGAAGGAAATATATTTGGAACAGCAGGAAACCAATCTCGGCGAGGGGTCTGGGGGAAAACGAAAATTGGCATTTTTGACTCATTTTTCTTACCTCTCAGGCCAATAAATTTTTCATATTTCTGTCACTATCAATTACCAAATTTTACCTAATAAAGCCATTTAGAAAACAATTTGTACCCTTTCACTGATTTGTTATATGGACTTTTGACAGACTGATTTTTTCCCCTGAAAAATAGGTGTCTGTAAAAACATTAAGACAACTTAAGTATGAAATTCTAGCACAGACAATTGTTTGTGCTAAAATTTCATACTGAAAATGCTACATAAATAGTCCCTTTCACATTAACTGATCAAAATTAAGGAAATAATTTATTTAAAAATTTACGAACTTTTTAACACGTAGTGACGTAGAATACCCCCAAAAATTGAAATATTCTGCAATCTTAGACTAAAATATCATAAACCTTTCAATTTATTTACTATTTTGTACAGATTGTCAGAACGAAATAATTAAGAAAATGGATACAAATACAAACTACTAGAACATAAAAACCTTCTTAAATGTGAAATGTTACACTGTTCCTGTATTTCAAGAGAGCTAACACAAATAAACGAGAATACAAATTTACATTTTCAATTTGAGGAAATTCTGTAAGAATTAATTCCTATGTCCCACGTTTGAGTCACGATTAAAAAATTAAGACTTTTATTTGTAAGGTCTTAAAATTATATCGGTCTAGATATAAATAGTTTCTGTTGTGACAGTGACTGTTAAAAAAAACATTTACTAATTTTTCTGTTCGACATTTTAGGTCATAGATACCTGACGCTTTGCATAAATGAAGCCCCAAATTCTGAACAATCTTGATCATATCGTGTATAGCTAAAGTTAAATCGCGATTGCGATCGTTGAGTTGTGAATTTTATAAGAGGTTGGAATTATTCATTAAAAATTTATTCTTTTAACTTTACTCTCGCAAGTTATAGCCTTGTTCAGTAGTAGTAGTACGTATTGGATCTAACCAAACTTCCATGGAAAAGAGCGCACTCAAGGGAAGTTACTCTATATCATGTAGATAGTCACGATAAAATCTACGGATTTCGCGTACCAACCCTGGCAAAATCCCAATTACGGAAATCTCACAGACGGCAAAATTTCTCGTACAGGCGGTTAATTTTGCTGGTTGCTGGCTCTTATTGAAAACACTGCATGGTGCAGCGTGGTGTAAACATCATGACATGTATATCAGTAGAAATAAATTCATTTTGTGTTTTAATTGGTTGACAGGACCTATGACAGTCGGTAAGTACAAGTTTAAGTATTGATTGGGGTATAACTAGTGGGTATTGTTTTTTTAACAAAAAAACACATGTCTCCCCTTCTTTACCAACATTAACGAGTGCAAATATATGATCAGGGTCTAAAATAATAATGCAGTGCATCTCAACTCAAATTCTGTGTACAAAATTTGAAGTCTTCATGTCAAACGGATCTCAAGTAATGGTCTGGTCGTGTTTTTCTTAATTTGACCTTGAAGAAAGTGGTCAAGGTCAAATATTTTGATGCAGTGCATTTAGTCTCAATGTTGTCTTTCCTAGTTCCAAGTTTGAAATCCTAATGTCAAAAAGTTCTCAAGTTATGACCTAGACTATATTTTCCTGTAAACAATTGACCTTGACTTTATTAATAGGTCAAGGTGAAAAAATGTTGCCATTCACCCTTCCTCTATACCACCTCTCCAAGTTCCAAGTCTTAATGTCAGGGTTCTCAAGTTATGGTCTAGTCATGTTTTTTTTCTATTTGACCTTGAAGAAAGGGGTCAAGGTCAAAATTTTGAAGTGTTGCATCTTGTAACAATGTCTTCTTTCTATGTTACAAGTTTGAAGTCTTAATATCAAAGGTACTCAAGCTAAGGCCTGGACTCTGTTCTGATGTAAAAGATTGACCTTGACACTATAATAATTGGATCAAGGTCAAAAATTTTGGTGGCATGCATCTTTCCTTCATACCACTTCTGCATGTTCCATGTCTGAAGTCTTTATAACAAAGGATTCTTAAGTAATGGTCTAATCAAGTTTTTTCCCTATTTGACCTTGAGGAAGAAAAGAGGTCAAGGTCAAAAATTTTGGTGTGTTGCATCTTGTATCAATGTCTTCTTTCTATGTTACAAGTTTGAAGTCCTAATATCAAAGGGTACTCAAGCTATGGCTTGGACTCTATTTTGATGTAAAAGATTGACCTTGACCTTATAATAATTGAATCAAGGTCAAAAATTTTGGTGGCATGCATCCCTCCTTTATACCACCTCTGCATGTTCCAAGTTTGAAGTCTTATTGTCAAAAGGTTTTCAAGTTATGGTCAGATCGTGTTTTTTCCCTATTTGACCTTGAAGGCAGAAAGGGGTCAAGGTCAAAATTCTAATGCAGTGCATTTTATCTCAAGGTCTTCTTCCTATGTTACAAGTTTGAAGTCCTAATATCAAAGGGATCTCAAGTTATGGGCTAAACTCTATTTTGATGTAAAAGATTGACCTTGACCTTATAAATAGGTCAAGGTCAAAAATATTGGTGGCGTGCACTCCTTCTCAATGTCATCTATCTATGTTCCAAGTTTGAAGTCTTAATGTCAAAGGGTATTAAAGTTACGGCCTGGACAAAATTTGGATGAAGAAGAAGAAGAAGAAGAAGAATAAGAAAATCGACAAAAACAATATGTCTCCCCTGGAAGGGGAGACATAATAACCGAAATGCAAATGGTTAGGTAAAAGTTTAAAAAGGATCAAAGATCATCGGATGCCACAATAGACGAATTTCACATTCTGAGTAGTTTTCTCCCGTTGTCGACATTACATTCAGTTACAGGCACAGATCCACTGCTAGGAAATTTTTCCAGGAAAAAAAAAAACAAAACTAACAAACAAAATAAACACAATGATGGTGGGGTCCATGTTTTTAAAGGGGGAGGGTGTCCAAAGTCATTTTTTATTTGCTTCTGTAAATCAGTATATAGTTCTATTTAAATAACTCTGCAAATTCCGGGGGTGGGGGGTGGAGGGGGGGTGGGTGGGTTCCAAACTCCCTAGCCGCTCCCTGTCCCTGAAATGACAAATGATCATGTGACTCCAAAATAGTAGAAAACTTTTCCATTTGACTATACATAATTTTGTTTCTTGTGTTATTATGTTAGGTACATCTAATCGTTTAAGGTTATGAACCCTTGGAGGTCATCCCCACTCTCTTAATGAACTGGAAATGTTCACAATATGAC